GGTGTTCCCTTGGACCGTGTGCGGCGACGTGCTGCTGAGCTGCAGGAGGCAAATCCCATGCTGGGACACCGTGGGTGCCGATTGGCGATCACCTACCCAGAGATTTGTGAGAGACTTGGAGTGCTGAGTAGATTTGTTGGGTTTTAAGGGTTCTATATTCTATATCCTTTACGTTTCCTCCAACTACTGAAAGGATTTACTGGAAGATACTGGAAGTTTTTTCACCTTGAATTTGTTTGGGGGGCGGAGTTCTAAATATATAAGTGTTTTCACCTCGGTGGGTTTTGTGGGTTCTACTTGCTTTGAACAGTTCATCGGCAACTTCCCAGGATGCAGGCGCGCGCCATCTTCGAAGCAGCCGCTGAGGTGGGCCGAAGCTCCAAGAAGCTCCCAGTCGCTGAAGTCATGGTGCCTTTGGCGGCGACCACCGAAGAGCTCAAACTGCTGAAAGGCATCATTGAGAAGACTGCGGATGCAGTGAAGAAGGAGCAAGGCATCACCTTTACTTACAAGGTCTTTGAGCTGGATTTTGCTTTGCAGTACTTTTTTTGCTCAGACTACTAGACTTTCATATCATCACCCAGTAGATTTATTGTTTTTGTTCTTTGTGTGATTTTTGTTCATCCCTGCATGCGCATCCAAGGTTGGCACCATGATTGAGCTTCCTCGTGCTGCCTTGCAGGCGGGCAAGTTGGCGGAAATGGCGGAGTTCTTCAGCTTCGGCATCAACGACTTGACTCAGACCACCTATGGATTGAGCCGTGATGATGCAGGATCTTTCTTGCCAGAGTACAAGGCCGCTAGTCACAATCCGAGGATACGATCAGTTCTGAATCTTTTGGGGGAGCATGATCATGAACAAAGTCATGATCATTCCCAAATATGATGATCAATGTAATTTTGGTTCATCAACTTCACACGTATCCTGTACACCTAGGCCAAGGGCATCGTGGAGCAGGATCCCTTTGTCGATCCAGATGGTGTTGGTGAGCTCATCACCATGGCAGTCCAGCGGGGTCGCAGCACCAGGCCAGACATGAAGATGGGCATTTGCGGCGAACATGGTGGCGATCCAGCCTCCATTGAGATCTGCGAACGCATCGGCCTGGATTACGTGAGCTGCTCGCCTTTCCGAGTGCCTGTCGCACGACTGGCTGCTGCTCAGTCCGCTCTGAAGACTCAGGGTGAGAAGGCCAAACAGAGCTCCACCAAGGCAACTAAGCCCCGAGTACAGAACTTTGGGCCCTGGTGAGTTTCAACGCCAAGGTTCATGTCGTTTCATGTCGCTAATTGATTTTTGTTTCATTGATGTGTGATCTACTGACAACAAGATTCTTGTCGAAGGTCTCGCCAGATGTATAGGAATCTGTGTCATTGCATGTTTAGTGAGCTGCTTCTTGGCAAGCTTCAGTGTGACCATGTGTGACCTCATCTCCAAGCAAATCAGGCATAGGCTCAAATTGCTGAAAATGCTGGGGCGCTCACATTTAAGCTTTTAAGCGTTTCAGAGACAGACTAGCCTCAGCCACGACAGGAATTCAATCAACTGGAAAGGCTGTGTGGCTGTATGGCTTGGCGCCAAAAAGTATTTGCAGCGCATCATTCACTTTTCTAGCGCAAACCAGATCGTGCCCATTTGGTGCTGGTAAAGTGTATTCTTTTGCTGCCAAGCAGGAGTCCATCCTGTTTTTTTTGTTAAAAGGCTTGGCCGGCGCAGTATTTCCATTCTAGTACAGGTTGGAGCCTGCAGATGCCTGCAGCGTTTGAGACGACCAAGTATATTCGAGGGATTCAGATCGACGGATCGACTGTGCATCTTTGGCCATGGCAAAGTGGGTCTACAACTTTGGTGATGGCAAGGCTGCTGGGAACGCGTTTGCATTCTCTACTTTGCTACTGTCAAGTTTGTTTTGTGTGTTTGTTTGCCGCTGTTTCTACAAAACACCATGCCCA